ATTGATTGCTGTAAGCCTGGCACAAACAGACGGCTGCGACTGGCAGAAAGGAACTATATGGAGTCACTGACTTATTTTGGATTAAACAGAAGTGCAAATAATTGATATTCTTTTTAAATGGAAGACCGACTCATTGAACCCCCGGGGTTCGATAGAACCCAGGTTAAGAACCACTGCCCTAGAGGATTTGGAATCCTGTGATCGCCATGTTGCTTCCCTTTGCAATTTTCCAAACTGCTAACATTGCAAAACATCCTCAAACAATTCACTACTCGATGGTGAGTCACTGGTCACCATCATGTTTAAACATAAAATAGAGCATTACACGCTGCCAGTTAGCATTAGCTGCTAACTCAGCTAAATGCTGTTACAGGTGAGTCCGATCCATTTATCCCAGTAATGACTGAATGTGAAAGGAAATTAAGTAAGCTGAATTAAAGGCAATACCTTTAATATTTAAAGGAATTTTCCCATTTCTAAATCTTAACCATTTTTATGACGGTTTTGTTTATTTTATTTCATGCTCATGCTGCAGTGAAGTCTGGTACCAATGACAATTTTTGTTTGTACATTAATCAATCTGGCTTTAATCTAAATTATCATCTGTGAATTAGGAACTTAAAAGTGCTTTTTTTTCTTTCACTAAATCATTCTGAAAATAATCTCACAATAATAATGTTTTTGATCATCTTATTTCAACACTACATGACTTGGAACTGATTTACAATTCTTTTTAAATTTACTACTTAATACTGTGGGGATTGCTCTCAATAGTTGTGAAATAACATTACACACAAAACAGAAAGAACTGTTATGTTCTCAAAACGCCGGAAAGATTAAATGACTGAGGATAAACTATCAAAATGACCTTAAAGAACAACAACAAAAAAGAAAAATACATTTAATTCAACTGAAAAATGCAAAACAAAACCATGCAATCATGTATCTACATTCTTCCAGTATGGTGAACTGAAACTATCATCTGCCATTTTAAGACATGTACAATTATGTATCACTGTGCTTTTAATCATGCCCTCACATTTAAAGATTTTCCACCTACATTTTCTCTGTGATCAAAATGGTAAACAGTAATGGTACACTCAAACTCAAATTTCAATTATGTCTATTTCACCTTCAATATAATATTCAAATAATCACAGCAAGCTATTCTCTAGATGTTATTTCAGGATTACTACATCTTTTGTTTTATTGTAAAAATCAAGCATTTTTTTGCAATTACTTTTACTAGTAAACACAAAATCTACCAAGTATTCTTGGTCAGGAAGGTTCTTGGTCAGGAAGGTGACCAAGAACCTGATGGTCACTCTGTCAGATATTCAGTATTCCTCTGTGGACAGAGGAGAAACAGCTGAGTACCAACAATCCTATGCGTCAATCATTATTTATATCCTCTATCTATTATTTATATTTCTCTACCTGAGGACTCTATTTTATTTACAATTGACATCGACAGTCTGTACACTAATACTGACATAAATGAAGGAATTAATTGCATTAAAAACATATTTTTGAAATATCCCAATTCAAGGAGGCCAGATTGAGAACACACACAATTACTGTATTAGAGATAAATTTAAAAAGAAATGACTTTATATTCGATGGTCAATTTTTCTTACAGATTAAGGGCACAGTCATGGGCAAAAAATTTGCACCGGCCTATGCAAATATTTTCATGGCCAAGTGGGAGGCCAGGGCCCTTAGTATGTGCAGGAAAGCTTCCCTACACTACTGCAGGTACCTGGATGACATCTGGGGGTCTGGACCCATTCTGAAGCAGAATTTCAGGAATTCCTCCAGCACCTGAATACACATAATCCATCCATCAAAGTAAAGTCCACTACCAGCGTTAAAGTGGTCGATTTCCTGGACACCACCACATACAAGCAGGGTCGGCCCAAGGCAAAGCAAACTAAGCAGCCACTTAGGGCCCCGGGGCTACCAAGGGGCCCCCTCAGTGGAGCTGATTTATTTTTTTTATTTTTTTAGTAAAAAAAAAAAAAAAAGAAAAGAAATGTCATTATAATATCAAAAACACACAATTTCACTATGAAGTGCTTTGTTTCTATAATAATATATATTTCATAATGTATTTAGAAATAATTTTATTGATAAAAAGACAAAAAACAACAACAACAACAACAACAACAAACAAACAAACAAACAAACAAACAAACAAACAAACAAACAAACAAACAAACAAAAAACAATTGCTCTTCGAGGGCCTCTGGTGGCCGCGGTAGGTAACGCACGCTTCACCTGAATCATGAGCTGCATCCAAAGCTCCGGTCAGAAGTTCAATAAGCAAAACATTGTCTCAAAAAGCACTTATCCTTCAGGAAGGGAGAAAAGAAAGAGGAAGAAAAGAAAAAAAGCCAAGATAAAGGTTTGTTTTAATGTGCCTTGGTAATGTAATGTAATGTAAAAGATTAGTAAAGCTACTAGCTTGATAGCGACCTGGAACGGTCCAGTTCAACAGCCAAACATTTATGCTAGGCTCTTTGTCTTTGTGTGACACTGAGTTTAAACTTTAAATGAGTTGATTCTCATGGTTGGCTCTGTATATTTCCGAGGTATTTTTGGCTTCAAAACGCCGTGTTTGATAACCTTTGATCAAATATCAAACATTTAGAATTTGTAATTATTGTTATCAATAACAATAATTACAATCATTAGCACACTGATCATTAGCACACTGAGCAACTTCTCAAACATTGAGAAGTTTTAATTATTGTTTTAATTATTCTTAATTATTGTTAATAATAATTAAAACTTCTCAATGTTTGACATCAGACTACATGGCTGCCTGCTGCATTAATATATCGATGAGCTCCTCTACGCTGGGGATATGTTATTTGCTGCTGAACATAATCATTTTGTGGCTAAAACAAACATTTTACATCAACTTCTAAGTTATGTGAAACTTCTGTTAAAATCATTTCAAGGCTCAGAATCAACCCGGTAAAATTACTCACCTGGTATAAATAAAATTTTTGGCTATTGGAGTAACACTTAAGAGAAATTTATTTAATCAAAGAATGTCATGAATATGTGTGTAGGGCTGCACCGATTGCAGTTTTCTGGCTGATCCCAAGTTACCAATCTTTAAAAAGCCTGACCTGCCGATTTTGATTTTGGCTGGTATGAATTTCTTTTGTCTGAAATGTTGCTAGCAAGAAAGTCAGAGTTGGCAACAGTGAGGTGAATATTGTTAAGTGTAAACATTCGGACATGACCTGGTGGGTCGGTCTGTCAGTCAAACCTCTCACTGTAGAGCAGAAAAGGACAGAGGCTGATTTTTAAACCTTTGCTGATGAAAATAAGATCAGGGGATAAGATGGGCTTCATGGGCTTCACATGTAAGTATCGGCCAATCACAATCCCCCAAAATTAAGGAAATTGGTGCCCAGAAATCAACTGCTTGATAAATCACTTGGCCAATAAATGTATCCTATGTATATAATGTAAACAGCACTGCCAGAGATACAATAAGTTTATAGCAGGTGTGTAAATGATCTAATGATCGGACTGCTGATTGCAGCCAGTCCACATTGTTAGCAGAACTAGAGGGCCCCAAAACCAAATTTCACTTAGGGCCCAATGGAGGGCCTGCCCTGCTTCTCGCTGTGGTTCTACTACCATCTGCAGAAATACATCACATTCAAACACAACCAATCAGAGCTAGGAGGAGGGTCTTAGCACTGTCAATCAGCTGGTGTACCCACTGCTTACCACATCCTCCTTTCTCTCTGCTACGCTACAGCTCCCTCCCCACAGCGGCACCTGCCGTGAATGCTCAGACTAATTAGCATGGCCACAAATGACAGCAAATAGTTTTTTGTAATAAGTTGTTTCCTCACCATTGGCACACTGAGCAGCGTGTACACTGTTCTGATAAACAGTGCTAAGACCTTCCTCCTGGCTCTGATTGGTTGTTTCTGGATGAGCAGAATGTTTCTGCAAATGAGAGTAGGGACACAAAGAGACCGAAGAGCTTGATCTTTTCACAGATTTGTCTAATACTATCACCACACAGATCAGTTTGTAAAAAACACTCTACAGGTCACTAGGTCAGTGCAGCTGTGTTCTGTGGTAATTCCCAATAAAATGGCTCACTTAGTGCTCCAGCCTAGTCTAAGTGCATTACTGAAGCAATATAATAGAAAAAGAATCATAAATTGGAGACGAGACTGAGCCAAGCCTTCTTTCCCAACATCAGTGTTTGACCTCACAAATGTGCTTCTAAAAAATAAAAAAATCCTCTTAATGACATTTAATGTGTAGAGTTCAGAGAGCAGATATATTCATTTTCTGTTCAGTGGATGTCATCATGAAAAAAGACAAAGATTCATTATAAAGAACTCCCATCTGACACAGGCATAAATAAATAAAACTTTATTTTTGGAAAAGGATATGTACAACATGAAGAATAATAATGCATTCTGTTTTGATTTATATAATCAGATGATTTCAACTAAATGCCATCAAGGCACAGAGACAGTTTGTGCGAACAGTCTGCTGATACGAGTCATTTAATACTTCTCTGCTGCCTTGACTGGACATGTAAACTTTTTCATTAGAAACACCAATGCTAGTTGACCAGCATCACACAAGGATTGTTTGCAATAATGACCAAATCCATCTGTTTGACAGCAGATGAGTTATTGCTGAGTGATCCTTCAAGTTTCCAGAGGGGATCCACCCACAGGAAAACATGGAATTTTCCTGAGCTGGAAACTAACTTCAAGTCTGAAGACGGACACTTTCCAGCTGTCCGTTGGAAGACATACTGCTGAGATGTTTTTGATTATGGTACAAATTGATACTATTGAAAAAGGAATATGCAGATACTGTCATGGATTTTCAGTAAGAGGTGATTAAAACAAAAAACTGTCTCAGTTGGTTCAAAATGAACACAAAAGTAAAAACATTTCCAGACAGTGAATCAAAAACACAGATATTATCCTTTAGCTTTCTGTTTTAATTAGCCATGAATCAGTTCAACACAGAAAAATCCCTCAACAAGAAGCAATTATGCTTCCAGTCATTTGAAAATGAAGTCCACGGACCGTAGCGTTGGTGTTGAACCAACTCTTCAGGACTCTCCAGAACTTTCCATTTAACAGGCATTTAGAGTTCAATTGTATTGAGGTGGGTGAGAGCTCCCTCCATGTCTGACTGGGACAATCACATGTCCATCTTCCCCTGCTTCTTAAAAAGCTTCATGAGCTGGTAAAACCTGTGAGCAATCTGAAAAATATCAAACAGTAAATAACTGCAAACCTTCAATAAAACCCTGAAGACTGAAGACTTGCTCACCTGGCCTGACGGCTTGTTTAGTTTCTCAGACAGTGTGGAGAACGTTTCCCGTGAAGCTCCTTTGGTCTTCAGGAACATCAGAATGGCTCGATCTTCATCTCTGAGGAGAGGATGAGCAAAAAAGACTGAGCATCCTTTCACCACGGAACTTTAAACTTTCCTACTTGCTCTGTTTGACCAACAGTACTACATACTGCTTAAAGGTCAGTGTTTCACACTGGCATCTAAGTTCACTGTAACATTTGAATGAAGCAGTGAAGGAACAATAGAAACAGAAAATAAACTTTGGAAAACTAGCAAATATGCTAATAATATTTGTTTATAGAGGTTTTATTTAGTCAATATATAAATGTTTATGTTTTAATTTGGCTAAAAATAAAATTTGGCTAAAAACAAGACATGTTCGCATGAATCTGTGTGCAAAAGTAAAAGCATTTATGTTCTTCCTAAACACCAGTTTGTTTTTAGTCAACTCAATTAAATCCAGTCATTTAAAATGTATCAAATGTAGCTGATTGAAATTTGGTTTATATGCAGTTAAACCTAAGATGTCAAACCTAAGATGTCATACCACAGTCATGTCATTAATGACATGACTGTGGTATGACTGAGTGGACTGAAGTCATGTGAGAAGTGTTTTTATTTCCACGTGACTTCAGTGACTCATGCTACTGACCTGGTCCATGCCATCACCACCTCGCCCTTCTTCCTGATGATGTTCTTGGCAGACAGGCTGCTTGGGGACAGAGCTGCTTGGGAAAGTTTCAACTCCTCGTCACTCTTCCTGGATGGAGAAACCTGCAGACTCTTGTCCTCCTTTTTACATCTTTTGGCTTTCAGCTTTTCCTGCCGTCTTTTCCGTTTCCGGAGCTGTTCACAGTTCCTAGAGGTTTTCTCTGATGAGCTGCTCGTGTCAATGGTGAGACTCTTTTCTGACTCGGACACAGTGGTCTCCTCTCTGCCCAAGTCATAGAACAGTGTCTTTGATGCTGTAGTGCTTGGGCTTAAAGTGGCTCTGGGGGGACTGGTTTGCTTCTGGGGCTGGAATGGGAATGATTTGGGTGGAGTTGCCTCTATTTGGAGCTGTGTTCTACTGGGATCTGAGACTGATGAACTGTGGGAAGTAGGTGAGCTGGTGTTTGAACTGGGATCTGATGGATCCGTTTCAGGAGTGGTTTTCCTAGACTGGGTAAAAGTGTCTTGTCTTGGGTTGGATGGATTGGTTCCTGCAGTCTGTCTCTGTTCATGGGTGTGTGATCCAGAGTTTGGGTTTCCAGTGACGGAGAACTTGTTCTCTGTCTGACCAGTGACCTTCAGACATTCCTGTGCATCATATTCTTCATGTTGCTGATTTTTTTCTATCAGTGTCTGGCTCAACGGCTCTCCAGCAATTGGTGTGCCTTCTGCAGCCACATTCATCTGTCGAATCTTTACGATGAAGTGATCATTGGACTTCTCCATCACCAGCGCCTGCATAGGAACGTCAGGCTTGAAGAACAGAGTGCTGCCAGGCGTTTGGGAGGCTGTGCTGTCTCTGGAGCTGCAGCTGGAGTTGTCCAGGGCCAGGTGGATGTCCTGCTCTGTAGCATCTTCCCCATCCAGCAGAGCATCCTCACTTATGTGTGCGCTGATAACGCTGTCTGGGGTGGACACCACATGGATCCCAACGCCTGCTGGCTGGAGGAAGCTGAGGTGGCTGTCAGATTTAAGAGGAGATGGAATCGTCAGGGAAACAGCCAGATCTTCAGCTAGAATGGAATATTTCTCTGCTGTCAAGTTGCCCTGCAGCAGCGCTCTGTTTCCAGACGGAACCTCCAGGAGGCAACTTTCATCGAATAAGGCTGGGTGGAGGGGGATAGGGGTTTTGGTGCGTGGGGATGACCTCCGTCTGGGTGAAATGCTGGACCAGGTAGCAATGAGTCTGGCTGAAGTATCGGACTTGGATGGTGAGAGGAACTTTGATGGTGTGGCAAAATTGAGAAATTTCTCTCCATCCTTCCTTGGGGTCCCAACAGCCCAGGCAGTGTTGTCTCCACACATCCCTGTGCTTTCTAACAAGTCTGATCCTTGGAGAAGACACTTGAATATTTCTCCCATCTGAGAGTCTCTGACCAAATTGAATGTCAAGCTGGACGCTTGTTGCTCGGTAAGCAGCTCAAAGTCTGTTCTATCAATCAAGGAGCCGTTCTGAGGGATCACCATCTTAGTTTTGTCTGGAGACGAGGCAGCGTTGCTGTCGGACAGGAAGTTGATCATAGTTTGTGTGTTTACACGATCTGGAGGATGTACATGAGAGGCGCCATCTTTTTCTGTGTATGACATACGGATGTCTTTACCTTTGCTGCCTAGTCCGGTTCTGTAAGGGACCACTGCACATGACTTGGTCCGGCTCAGGCTGGAGTTAGTGGGGTGGGCCTTGTTCTGTTTACACAGCGGCATCTTCACTGGAGCCTGCTGAGGCCCAATCACCTGTCCACCGGGCCTCTTGTCTTCAGTGGGAGTCTGGACGGCTTGGCAGAGGCTCTTCAGTGTTGTCTGGATGTCCATGAACAAGTAGTCCACTTGGACATCTACAAAGTCCCACAGCTTTTGCTTTAGATTGACTGCTTGCTGTTCAAAAATGCGTTTCACTATGCCATTATTAAGCACTTTGCTAAACACAGATGCAATTACTTTCCTCAGCTTGGACTTCAGCTCCTCGGCATCGCTGCATATCTGGCCAAAGTGAGCACCGTCCACAAACTCTAAAAAAGACTTCTGGAAATTGTCCATCACACCACAAAAGCTTTTTTTAGGAAAGGTTTTATGAAGCTTCATGTATTTTTTACGCATCTCTATGCGAACCATCTTGAATGTCTCCATTATTTCCTCTACAGTCAAAAAAGATGCTTTGCTTGCTGATGGGCAGACAGTTTTAAAACGACTCCTGGGACTTTGCGTTGAGACAGCAGCTGAATCAAGAGATTCTTTAGAAGCAACCCACCGTTCTTCAGGTTTTCTTCTTGAAGAAGACTGGAGGCTGGGTTTATTCCTGACTGGTTCCGTTAACTTTGCCCTCTTGGTGGCAGGAACAGGAGAACTAGAAGTAGCCTCATCACTCTCGCTTAAAATTTCCCCTTCTTCCAGTTCAGTGTCAAAAGGGCTTGAAATCTGCTCAGACTCCATGTTCACCACATCCTGTGTTCCTTGGTTAGCAGGAGAACCTGGATATTTGTTTTCCTTATTAACATCCAACTTCATCAAGTTGGTCTCAGCAGTAGAGGTAGAAAAATCTGGACAGAAAAGTAAAGGAACCGTCAGTACATATTCAAAGTCAATATTCAAGACATTCAAGACTAAGTGAAGAGATTCAGGAACACCAGAGCCTTTGTACAAATCAATACATTTGTGGCAATCAGTGGCAGGTTATGGTGCAACAAAGTCAATATAATTTTCAGGTATTTTACACATGTTGAGGGATGAATCGTCTCTAAATTCAACTCAACGAAGTCCAGAGAGACCAAGACCATAATTCTGTTCAGTTTACTACATAAATCAATGTGAGAGAACTAAAGACGACAATACAACAGGTCAGTGTCAGCACAAAGACACAGAGGGTTTTAACTCTCTGGGTTAACAGATAGTGCTGGACCCTGAATCCAAGTCTTTAGTGACAAGTCCACTATAGTAAAACAGCTGGCAACCAGCTGACGGACTCACTGATTTTTTTCTCAAAGCTACATCAC